TATTCGAATACTTTTGAAAGTATTCGAATACATTCTAAAGTATTTGAATACTTATTTTTTTAAGTATTTGAATACGTTTCAATGTATCTGTATCCAGTATTCGCTTGTGCTGGACGTAAAAGTATTTAGTATTCAAATACTTTTTGAAAGTATTCTGCCCAGCTCTGTCTGAAACGGACAACTTGTAAGGGTTGCCGGATTCAATGGTTTCTTTATATGAAATTGAAAATTTGATTTTTTTCACAAAAACTTCGTACAGTATGAACTATAAGTAAGTACCAATAGCAACACTTGACCGTGTGAAAATATTTCGGCAATTTGTAATGAGAGGGTTATTTTTACGTAATTTTTTACGTTTTATTCCTTTAATAAATGCTATAGGTTAAAGGCAGTCAAGGTTTCAATAACATTCCACCACACAAATATTCATTATGTCATATTCACCGTTTTATTTTGTCGATTGGAGTTCACAGCTGGCGCCTCATTGACGGGAAACGTTGTCGTTTTACTTGGAAAAAAGAGGCATATTATGTTTCATATCTTACGTTGCAAGTCGAAGAGACATAAACCAAATTCCGCTGGGTCAACTTTTTTGGAAGGTGGTTCTAACGTCAGCGAACCAATGGAAATTAACTAAATACCTCTCCCATTGCCGTCCATTATCAAGTAGGGGTTTTAAGTTAGCTTAAGGTAGAAAGAGGGGATGAGCTTTTGCACGAAATTAGTTACTTTTGGTCAGTCAAGGCGAACAGACTTTGGTCAGTGAAAGTTTTCATTTAGTGGCCAATAATTAAACCCAGCATTCGGAATCTCCGAGGTTCAAAGAGTATTATTATTATAAATTCTGATCGATTGTGATCGCATAATTATATGTACCGATCAAAACATTAACTTACTCAATACCGATGCCAATGTGAACACTTTTTTGAACCTGCTAGCATCATTTCATATACCTAGTCCCCACGATCACTAAACCCACCAGGATCGCTAAAGCAAGTGCCACGCTAATTGATAATATATATTGCAATGTACAATACAAACAGGTTGAGGCTATTGAAACCGGATTCTCGGATCATCTAGCCATTCAGTTTATTCTGACATATAAAAATAAGTCTGAATGTTCTAACTATGTAACCACTCGAGTGTTCAACACAAACAATACGTCGACATTCTGTAACTGAATAGCTAACCAGTCTTGGGATGCGGTCTATAAGTCATTATGTGTAAACTCCAAATATGATACATTCTTAGGAATATTCCTTTCCTGCTTTCAAACAGCCTTTCCAAATAAAAAGGTCAAAATTAACAGATCAGGGCAAACGAGAAAGCCATGGGTAACACCAGAAATATCCAAAATGAGTACCCGACTTAAAGACTTGCACTCTTACTGCAAATTAACCGAAGACCACAACGTATTAAACAAATATAAGTGTTTAAAAAGCACGTACATTAAATTAATCAATCATTCCAAGCGTGAGTGGAATGACAATTTTATCAGAAACTCCAGCAGCGCGAATAAAGCCGCTTGGCAGTTAATCAAGCGATTATCTGTAAGTAACCATAACAGTAAAAATAACTCAGATATTAGGCTAAAACAAAATGGTAAATTGGTGGAAAATCTCTCCACTAGTTGCAAAATATTTAATGAACATTTCATCAATAGTGCTGTTTCCATCGCCAAAGAAATCGCCAGACCATCATCTCAAAATTCCAATAAGCTGCGGAGACGTATTCCACAATCCTTCTACCTTAAACCCGTGACCGAGCAAGAGCTTCTTCAAACAATTGCACCGTTTTTAAACAAAAATTCAGCAGGAGCGGACGGTATTCCATGCCACATCGTACACAAGGTAGCGGTCCTCTTAGTGAAGCCCCTCACGCATTTAATAAATGAGTCATTCCAATCTGGAACGTATCCTGATGCTCCCAAGATCGCTAGAGTGGTCCCAGTCCACAAAAAAGGCAGTACCCATGACGTAGCCAACTACCGACCCATATCCTTGGTATCTACATTCTCCAAAATTCTTGAAAAATGCATCGCCAATCGTTTGGTGGACTATTTCACAAAGTTTGATTTATTTGCCAAGACACAGCATGGATTTATCAAGGGAAAATCTACTATCAGCGGGCTCTTTGACTCGATAAACCAAATATATGATGCGCTCGATAAAAAGCTATATATCATGGGATTGACCTGTCAAAAGCCTTTGACATTGTTAACCATCAACTCCTATGTGAGAAACTGGAATCATATGGAATCAACGGTATCACCTTACAGCTTATCCGCTCATTCTTATCAGATAGATCTCAGTTCGTCGAACTTACCGGTAAATGTGGTGAAATCATCAACAATAAATTTAACTCAGCTGAGCTACAATACGACATGGGTACCCCACAGGGTTCAACTCTGGCTCCACTACTCTTCGCTATCTACGTGAACGACATGGATGAAGCATTTGCTGATCTCGGTGTTGCTCTATGCAAATACGCAGATGACACCTCCATGATACTTTCCGATAAAAATCTAGACAGCCTAACTGGGAAAGTCAATAATGCAGTGCTACGAATGATGGAGTGGTGTACTGCTAATAAACTAAAGCTAAATGACTCAAAAACAAGCGTAATCTTCTATCACAATTGTCGCACAAACTCGCCGAGTTACCCAACTATATACATAAACAATAAAGCACTATCATTCGACAGCAACGAAAGATTTCTAGGCGTGCACATTAATGAAAATTTAAACTGGACTACACATGTCAACCATATATGCGCCAAACTTAGTCGTGCGAGCTATACAATTTTATGTTTGCGGGATGTTGTCTGGTCATCCACACTCTTACTATATTACTATGCCCATGTGCAAAGCCACCTACTATACGCAATTATCATTTGGGGTCATGCGCCAGCTGAACAGAGTTCTAATTGCTCAGAAACGCATAATACGGCGATTGTGTCACTCTGGTCCAAGAGAGCACTGCCGGCCACTTTTCAGGCGCATGAAAATTATGACTGTCTGCTCTCTCTATATCTACAGATGTGTTCTCTACACGTTCGACAACCTCCATCAATTCAGTACCAACCAAGATGTCAGCAGCACGATGAAAACGCGTTTCGCACGGCAACTCTGTATCCCAAAACACACTACACATTTATATGAACAATCTCCCACATATAGGTGCATTAAATTATTTAATCACCTACCTATGCGGATCCAAAAATGCAAAGCAGCACAATTTAAATCCTTGGCGAAAAATTTCTTTCTGGAGCACCCATATTACACAGTGGTGGAGTACTTGGCAGGCTCTCCAGTATGATATCGAGAGTCCTATATGTCTCTTGTCTTTTGTTTTATACACTTATAAATGTTTTATATACTTATATGTTACGTTTGTCACTAACTAATTGTTTGTATACGATTTACTCTCCTGACGACCCTATATTACTAATGTAATCTGAAAGGGAAATAAATAAATATGAAATATGAATGTCTTTTAAGTACGAGTAAACAAATTTTGAACTATTAATAGACAAATTAAATTCAAAACCGGATCATAAAGGCAAAATTGTATATATTTTTCTATTCCCATCGAAACAAATCTCTGAGTTTGTGACCAGTCTTTACAGGCTCTTTCACATTTTTCTGGAATCCAAGCAAATTCCAATTAAAATTCATGTTAAGGGAATCGAATTCAGAAGGTTTCCAATACAGTACAGTAACCATTTAAATTTAAGAAAGAGATGGCTATTTCTCCGAATGAAATAATTATGTCCGTGCTAGGTAGGAATTTCATGCGTGAATTATTTAATTAAAAACTACTGTGTCTAAAGGAGATGCATACTTACTTAAGTGTCCAATTATTTTCTTGCCTGAATTTATTCCATTTAACCATTTCTGTCGTTGTTACTGAATTGGACAGTGCAAATTACCAGGATTCTACTGTATCTCTCATTCTCACGAATTTGAACCACCCTGTACATAGCAGTGCTTTTTATACTTTCTTGTGGAAACGAGTTCAGTTATTTTTAAATATCATATCTACGGGAGTGTGTCCGTGAAGTCAACGACTTTAAAGGTATTAAGTTCTAAGTATCTGGTAAATGTGTGCTGATTTTATGCTAATTTGTGCTACTAATTTAAAATTTTGTGCTCGTCATATTAATGACTAAATCAATTTTTTCAAATGACACTCCAACTTCAAACTATAGCGTCACTATTGACATTTTCAAAATTTTCTTTTACTAAAATTGTCTGATAACTTGTGCTGCTTATTGATTATTTTGTTCTCATCGCGGTAATGAGTAAGTAATGAATTTGTAGTGTCGTTATTTTAAACATTTTCTTCCACTATTGTGGCCACGCGCCGCATGTACATCCGGTAGCAAACTAAAACGTGTTGCACCCTCGTTGGCCAAAACGGTCCGCCGATGTGAGAATTCACAAACAAAAATCTCAATCATGGCTTTAAATTAATAATTTGAGGGACTATCCGTAGCCTCGGTCAACTTCCAAACATTTCAAAGAATAAAGTACACCAATTTTCATTAGGACTAGACGTAATTAATCACGTAATGAAAAATCTGGCATGAAATCTATCCGGGTCGCACAACGGACTCGAATGAACACACAAATGATTGATTGACAATGACAAGTCGTATTCTATTAATTCCCAATGTACCAGCAGAGAATGACTGCTTAGAGCCTAATTGTACGAACATTCTCATCTTCTGAAGGACATTTTTATAGGAGGTACTGTACTTTTATTTATTTAAAATTAAAGCTTGCATATCAATCTCTGAAAAACTGACGCTGAAGTCTTTAGAACACTTCCAGAGGACATCTCTGACGATAATTCTACTGGATTTTTGGTATTTATTTCAACTTATTCTTCAGATTTCAATTCTCAGAATTCCAATGAATCTTTCAGAAATTAGCTCAAAGATGTTAAAGGGTGCAGGATTTTGTAAGGATCTCTAAAGGGAAGGAAAAGAAATAGCACTTTTCTACTTAAAACGATTTATGTAAAACTTTGCTTAAAATTCGAAAAATTAAGGACTAATAGATGTCCAATTTGCTATAGCATCTCATCAAGCAACTCGATACGGAAATATCCATCGCCACTTCCCACATTTCACGTCCCATTCTTATTGGCATGCTGAATATCAGCAGATCCATAGCACAAGGAACGCAACCGTTCCTTTTGTAAACGTTTCAATAAAACTTGAAAATTAAAAATGTCACAAAGACATTCCTACGATCCCTTTTTGCGTTCGAGCCTCCGTTGCGTAAAACTATTGGAAGCATTTGCTCATACGGGATTAATATTTTCTAGTGTTCTGCTGTCGTACTTCAATCGCATGAAATTTCTCCCCAGTTCGGTTGCGGCGATCGGAGTTACGTCCAATAATGGCGTCTTTTCCGGTAGCATTAATAGCGCCCTTAGGTAAGCCGAATGCGCCATCGCTACCAAGTATATCGATACTATTAGCGATACGATCGCCGAACACGACGTCGATACGGCCACTGAAACAAAGAAAAACAATTAGACGGTCGTGCCTTTAATTTTAATTAACGCAAATTTGAAACGCTAGGACTTCAAAGGTTTCCCGCAGAAAAGCAACAAAAATGAAGGGCTTGTTATTCTCGCAGCATCATTATGGAAGTTTTTACTTCCGCTTAATTTTAATTTTTAATTAAAAAAAGTCCGTTATGACTTGTTAGTAAATCTGTGTTTGTGATCTCGGTGACGATTTGCAAGCTCAATCCCTAGAATGGGGATCTCCGAAACCATAGAAGATACGACGATAATCAAATTAGGGAAAAAAGGCACAATTAAGAGTTTTATCATGCTCTAAAGAAATCCAGAAAGTTCCGATGACCTCCGAAGATATGCTAGAAAAACTGAAAAATGGAAAATTTCTCCGATAGGTATACTAGCACGATTAGGGCATTGTGCGCGGGTGCACCGTCCTGTTGAAACCAAGTTTCCAACTTTTGTTTCTTTTTGTGTTCCGTACATCGTTGCATTCGTAATAAAAAGCGCTACTCAATACGGTATACAGTAAAGCATGATAATAACCTTTTAATTGCGCATCTTTTCTTTAATTCGACCGTCGTCTTATCTTCAATGGTTTCGGAGATCCCTTATCTTGGACACACTAAGAAACCAAACATATTTCTCAAACATTCTGAGCATATCTCGCGAAAATGTACAGTAGGACTTACATGATCATCATATTTATATATGTCGTAAGTTTACTTCACCTTGTTCAAACACTACAATCAAATTAATTGTTTGGGTATCTTGCTATAAGTTTGGCTCAAATAAATCCAATGAATTGCATTATGTCTATACTAATAGCAACATATGCCCTAAATTTCATACAAAGTTCTCCGTCGCCCGATTTCAATTAATAATTATTGTAAAAGTATTAATGAAGCGATTTCAGCGAAACTAACAACAGATAAAATCCTGGAATTTTATTATCGTCTGACCTGAAGTGTGCGCAGGGGCCAAACGAGCACAAAGTTAACCGATTGTAGACTAGAGCAAACTTTAGACTTTAAACGGCGACCAACCTTTGAACTTTACACCAAACTTTGGACTTTGAACGACGACCAACCTTTGAAATTAATTTAGAAGATCACCAAATCATTCACCTTCACTTCTACTTAGTTTTGAAAGTCATCATCAGGAGGAAAGCGAGATGACATTGACGGCACCTGAACTTCACCTCATGGAATGCTAAAATGCGGAAAGCTGTATAAATTAAATGGAATACGATGCCGCAAGAAATAAGGAAATTGAACTTTCGTACCTTGAAAATGAAATATGACACCACAACATTGGGGCCAACCTTTGGACTTTGAGCTGCGAGAAAACTTTGAACTTTCAATGTTTACCAACCTTTGGACTTTGAACGTCGACCAACCTTTGGACTTTGAACGACGAGCAACCGAGTCAGGAGGAGAGATAGAATAGCCCCCGAATGTAGGCTTATGGAATTAAAATGGCGTTATAAATAGATCAAAGCTATATATAATACAAAATGTACTCATGTATTCATACATCAATAAAAGTGGATCAAGGTTACGAAAGAGTAAAGTTCAAAGGGCAGAGTACATAACATTTTCGGGATGGACGACCGAACGCGGTCTTGATCTACTTTTCATCTTGACATTCTTGGTGAAAGGGAGAAGTGTCGAGGTCGAGGTCAACGACTGATCGAACAAGGCTTTGACTCATTTTCCGAAATCACCACGTGGGGTCCTAGAGGGAATAATGATTAGGGATGAATGACCGAACGGACCTCTGTTTCACCTTAACCTCCTTTTCAAAGGTCACCGCCAAGTGCCGAATTACTTTTAAACTTCACCCTGACCTATGTGGCACTGTAAAAAAATTGTACCATTGTGTTTTTGGAAGTGAAATATGGCAACACAAAGAAAGGGCTCATTGGTCACTGATAACCTTGAAAGCGAATGGCTTTGAACACATCACCTTGCCCACAGTCACCGCTACGTGGCACCTGACCTTTGAACTTCACCTTGACGTACTTTCCAAGGTGGGGAGCGATCTTGAACTGGTCCAAATGCGGTATTGTCGTGGCATTTGCTTTGGTTCCGTTTAGGTTTTTTGATTGAGCCAGTTCCATCGCAATAGCGTGCCAGTCCTCCGTTAAATTTTACGATCGCCAAATTTAGATCGCTCGCTTTTAAGAGAGATTGCCGTGAACCAATAGTACTGGAGGATATAAATGTGCTGTGGAAGTTTTTTGTGAAACGTAGAACAATTATAAAACGTCTGTGGTCTGTGGGGTTGGTAAGCAGAGACGATTAAACCGTATTTAAATTGCCCTTTTACTTACGCAAACGTAGCGAAATAATTAGTTCAGTATAACATTTCGTGTGCTTGGCCTATTGTTTAATTACGATATTAATATAATTGTGCAAGCGATTCTGAGTTAGTTTGAATGTGGTCAAGAGAAGTAAAAATTCATTATACAGAAATTTTCATACTAAGATAGGCAATTTTGTACCAGAGTGGGGCCCAAAGGTACAACTATATCACTCCAAAAGCGATCCAGTTTTAAATTATTCTTGGAGGGAACCTTTTCAAAAGAGTGCCGATTTCAGCGATATCAAGATGCCTTTGAATTTGAATTACATGCGTGAGAATCTTTGAGAACCATGAACCACATTTTACTCAAAAGTGGCACAGGCTCACATTTTGAAAGCTGCCTGTGGGAACTAAAAGGACTAGATATTTCATTATTGGGTGGTTACATAAAACTTATAGGCAAAAATCGCTAGGGCCTTATACGTTTTGTATTTTAACATTTTTAGGTACTTGAAGATATTTGAAAGTTTTAACACAGAATTACAAATTAAAGTGGATTCTTCTATGAATATTTATCTCTTACTTACCCGTAATTTCATACCAGTGTATCGCTAAATTGTGTATAATGTGGAAAAACCAGAAGAAAGAGGCGGATCCCGCCATTAAAATGCATATGATTAGAAAATGCCTGAACCATCCGGTCATGATGTCATGTGGGCGATTGGAAGATTCGATGACTAGCAAGCATACGTTGAATATTACTGAAAAGAAAAACATTATTATCAATTTATACGTCATACTTGATACTGCATAGCGTCATTGTCACCAAACCGTAACATGGCTCTATTATCAGAAAGATATATCCCAAAGGCGTTAGTGTCCTGTTACAAATTAACTCTTGATAAACTTATTATTCACTATTTAATTGCATAAATGTAAACCTTAGAAACGTGTTTTTGTTATTTTTCTGATACAGTTTTATAATCAACTTACTCATTTACTGTTGTTGTACTTTTATAGCAATTGATTACTTTTATGACGATTGAAAATGCATGTTTTAACAAATAAGTGTCACTGAAAGGGTGATATGCTAATTATTTCGTCATTTACGAGGTACTATAGGTACATATTGCACCCTCTGGAGATGTTGCTAAGGGATTCTTTACATTCTACAAGGGTAAGAGAGTTAAATATGGCTTTTGACAGTCATGATACTTCACCAACGGATACGAAATACCTTTAAAAATGACCCACTACCCTTTCATCGTCATATTTAGAGTCACTTTAATAGCAAGAGATGGTAAAACCCTAAGTTTTGAACATAACTGATACAAAAGGTTATTTCATGTAAATGTCCTTTTGGATCAGAGAAAGGTTTTTTAAACCTTTATCTCTTTGTGGTATTTTTTGAATTGGGTACTTGGTGGAAGACTGTTTTGAACAGATGTTTGCTTGCTATATGCGAACTGCAGTCGCATGTTTGTAAAAGCCCTTTCCACCTTTTGCAAAAATAATCTAGATCAATAAAAGCTGCGTTTATGTACTCCATTCTACCGGTGATTTATCCTCACACGTCTGAACTACGTTGGGAGCAGTAAATGTGCTCCGATTAGCTATCGGTTAGTAATCCTCTTCTGGCCGAGACCACTTCTTCCATGCGAAATTGAAATTGGCCCTCCAGCTGCGCTTTGCACGGACTGACTATAGAATCCCCTGAGTTACGCCGCTTAACGAGTGCTGCTTTCTCACTATTTGCTCTCATATTTATCGGTTCTCCGTTTCTATTTGTCGGCCTCATTTACACCTTAAGGCTGGACAGTACACCCGTTCCGTTGCCCGAAAACGCGTGATTTCGTTCCACGATATCTTAATTCTGAGTGAAGTTGAAGAAGGGGTCGAATATTCCTGTGAAAGGTGAATGCTTTAGCTAGACAATAACGCCGGGGTTTACTAAAATGTTTTAAAATAATCTTTTTTTTAAGGGCAACGTCGAGGGCTGTTAGGGTGTCATATTTTGGAAAAGAAAAAAGGAAATAAATTTTCCTGGCGTTATTGCCTAGATATTAAGTTTACGAACGTATCTTAATTTTGGAAATTGTTCCAACTTCATTTATAGATAAGTTATCTTGGAAAAACAACTTAAAAGTTTTCCTCAAAAGCGCGAAAAGATAGCTTCCGCCGCGTGGCTGGTTTTATACAGATAGAAAATGTGCATTATAATTGGACTAAGTTTATGTTTTTACCATCGAATACAAATTAATATTATAAATAACCAAATTTGGGGATTGACAATAGGCAACTTTACATACTCCGTTCTGTATGTACTGTCCAGCCTTAACTTATTGCGAGCTTTTTGTCATACTACATGGGGGTTCAGATAGACGTATTTAACTCGGATCTCCTTGCTTTTATTTTAATTACAACAGTCCGCTTCATTTACCTCATCCCGAATATACAAATGTAACGCAGTATAAATATGAATTTACTTTATTTACATCTGAAATATAATCCGATTTCTAGCGGCGTTTGTTACCTTATGTTGCTAATTCCCTTTTAGTTTTCGCACGGTTGGATGAAATAAAGCAACTTGGGTTGCGAATAAATGAAATAATTAGTTTCCTTTCAATGCTAAAAAAGACGTCAACAGTCACAAGATTATAGTTGCTTATCTACGAGCTTATCTATATTTAGATTTGGGACAGAGAGCGTACAGAAGCGAGCAACAGATACCGAATAATGATGTAGAAAGAATGGAAAGGAGAGAATGGAGAAACAGAAAGAATATGACAAACAAGTCACGAAAATATACAGAGAGGAAATAAGAAAAATAGAAACTGGGGAAAAACACACAGGACCGGAAGCAGCATTTTATTAAGGTACTACAAAGAAAGCGGGAGAATAAGAGAAGAGGCGGTGATAGAAGAGGTAGGAAGAGAGGAGGTGGAAGGAGGCGAGAGTTCAAGAGAGGAGTTTGAGTAGCAACAAGAGAGACTGAAGAAAGCGGCCGTGGTGGAAGAAATAAGAAATGGGGCTTGGATTCGCGCCACAGGAGAAGCTGACGAAACTCATAAACAAGATATGGAAAGGAGGGTACTACCAGAAGAATAGAAGGAAGGGGTGATAAGTGTCGATTCTCAAAAGGGTCGATGAAAACTATTTGGAAAATTATAGGGGAATCACGATAATGATAACGGAGACGTACAGAATACTTAAGGTTTAAAATATATCTCGTGTAGCGAAGGTTTGGCATTGCTGTCTCTTTTCGTTCTTGAGTCAGACGGGGAACTGATGGACAAACGAAGAAAACCATCACATAAGAGGAATATAAAGATAAGGGGACGTGGTGATGAGAGAGGTATGCATAATAGGAAAGAGGGGTTTCAAGAACAAATACAGAACAAGAATATCTGTTCGAGGCATTGGCGAGAGGGGTGCTGGATCGGAGTAATGGGGATGGAAGGGTGGAATGAACTAGAAGAAATAAAAAGAGGGTTATTACAAACATCAAATTAAATATTAGAGAAGGAAACGAAAATGGAAAAGATGAAGATAGCGTCGGGACGCTAAGCGGTAATATTCGAGAAAAGGGTTGAAAGAAAAAGGGAAGTAGTGAAAAAGTACTTATCAACAATGATGAAAACAAAAGGAATTTGGAAAGGGCAAAGAAAAAATACTATGAAAGGAATGGATATACGGATGGGGTGAGGTCAAAAGGAGGTGAGAAATAGGGGAAAGGATGGAAGATCAACTTACAAAAACTATGTGCAGTAGCGACAGAGAAAATCGAGAGCTCAAGAGGAGACACTATGTACAAGAAGCTAACAGGGGAGTGGTTTTTGAAATACCTATCGAAGAGAAGAAAGAATATCAAGGTTTGGATGCGGAAACGGGGGGAGAGGAGAAATGGAGAGAAGACAACGAATGGAAATGCACAATTTGTGAATGTAAAGATGAGTCTCAAAAAAATGGGCAGAGCAGAGTAGTTACGCAAAATAATTAATTAGGGATTAGTTCGGAAGCAAAGGCAGATGATATGAATTTGAAGTAAAATGGGGAAAACTAATCTACTTATTTAAATGTCCAAGGACATGACGGGAGTTTCTAGGATTGCAACAATTTTATGGTTCAATTTTTATTATTTATTGATAGTTGTGGTTGTTTATGTAGTAAATTGTTTAAATCAAACTTAACATCAAAACACAAATCGTTTGCGCAAGCCGGTCGTTTACATTCTTATTTTGTTTACTTCGATCTTAAATGTTCTCTTCTTTGCTGTATGCCAATTGCATCGCTGATTGACTAATTACACAATGGAGCAAACATGGCCACTACAAATGGTCTTGAGAACATGGCCATTCAACAATCATGCATATGATGTAAACTGTCTCATGCACTAAGTGAATGTAATACATTACATCACGTACTTCAACTAGAATATCTCGATTGATTGTAGAATTACAATGGGAATCCAATAGCATTCATGAGAAGGTACACGATCCTGGCGTTTTTAAATTCTAAGTCTTCTTTAGGTTTAAAATTGGATAGATTGTAAAAGGCGTATCAATAAATTTGGTTTCGATCACACGTTAACCAATTTCAGGTAAAAGTTGTTTTTCAACCCAAGATGAACTGACAATAACAAAAATGCTATAGATAACCCAATTAAATAAATCAAAGGGCACAAAACCCGAAAGCGAAACTAATGGAAAAATCCAAATTTGCGTATAAACCAAATAAAAGCAGTAAGGCAGCAAGAGGTCATCGATAATGTAATAACATGGTTTATTAATAAATCTATTTCTATAAATAGGTGGTTAATTACAAAAGATAATCTTTAATTGGCGACAGATATTATCCAATTGTTTTTCCGACAGTACCTTTATTATAGATACAATAGATAGGTCGTACCCAAAAATTATTTTGAGCCATTCGTGCGGACCCGCGTTCGTTAGTCTAAAACGTGATAAATAAATAACTTACGTGTCATTACAGCAGCGACAATATCCCATATTTGATAGTTCATTAGTAAAACACATAATATGGAACTGATGTTAATTAACCCAGTTAGAAGTGTTAGTTTTGCGACAGTTAACAAACCGTTCATGTTACAGACTGAGCATGTAACTATTAAGAAGTTCTTATCACTGCTGTAGTGATATTTATTTTCAGATACGCACAGTTAATTGTATTATATGTTCATTAACATACATTTTTCAGCTTCTTAGCTTGGTTTGTTTGACGACCAAAGAAAATTTTGTATTTCATATCACCTGACACTTTCACTGTTAATTTTATTGACATGATCTGCTGAACTGCCGAACACTCGACCCGGTGCAGCAAATTTTATCAGCACTCCAAAATTGCGATTAAGTATTGTTTACTTAGAAATCTATCCCATGCGATTATTGACCTGTAGAAATTCACGTAAAGGTCATTTTATGTAAATTAGTTTCTTTGACGACCACCCGTACATTCAGATCTATGGATAGAACCGTTCTATTTAAAAATACAGATTTGTGAAGATAAGTTTCAACAAATAGTAGTAAACCTAATGAGTGGAAAGTTACCACTATATATCAACATTAGTTGTAAATTTAAAAGTGATAAGGAGTCGTGACTGTGGGTATATTATAACACATATTCCAAAGGTTGGATTGATTTTTAGACGTACTAGAAATATAATGGAAATGCAATATCCTGTAACCTTAAAGAAAAAATTTGCTGACCCTAGCCCAGATATCACCCGCACAACTGCCCATGCGCGATTCAGCTCTTCTTTTGTCTGAGAATATGTGTACCAAATTTAGCCGGAAACGAGCGTACGAGCAGACAGGCAGACATACATTATCGAGATTCAGGATTCCTAGTGGTTCAAAACGTGTATTTCCGTCAAAAAAGTAGGAGGTTATTTTTTAACCCAACGCAATACCTCCATTGCTACCGTCCGAGTGATAAAAAATAAAACATCCATGACTTGTAAAAAATACTATGCCTTTAGGTACGGATGTACAGGATCATTTTAATAGGTTTGAATGAATAGGCTAAGCCGTTCTTTAATCGGGATAGATAAAGTGATCACTGTTAAAGTGAACGTAAGGGTAGATAAAGTGATACAGATGATGGTCTGTTAGAAATGCTCTTGGGAAATGGAGGTATTGTCAATAAACCGACCAGGACCGTAGCCAGATTAATAAGTAAGAGCGGGACAATAAATCTACAGAGCGGGCGGGCGAAATAATTTCCTGTGTCTACGCAAATACCACCCGCTGAAGTAATTCGTTATTCTTGGAAAATACAGTTACAGTATAATTTTCAAAAGCAAAAGCACACAATAAACCTTACTCATAAACTCACTTTCTTGATTAATATCGCCACTTAAAGTAGTTGACGTTCTTTTGTTAATTTTTTGAAGAATTCCAAAAGATAAAAAGATCAAATCAGCCATTCCTTTGCGACACATCATCGAAGACCTTTGTGGCTTTTTTATTCGCGTCATTGTTGAAAATGAAGATCATTCACAGCAGTCGAACAACCAAACACTGCAACTGTTGCATATGGCTCTTACGTTTTTTAAAAACCTTCTTTTTGACCATATAATATTTTGAAAACATTTTGATATAAACTCGATGTTGAAAACGAAAGTGGCCTACAATCTTTTAAAGCTCAGGTAAAGGAATTATCGCACCTAATCTCATCTTTTAAAAGGATTCAATTAAAAAAAGATTAGAAAGAAGTTTTTAAAGAAATTATTTGAACTTTTTTCAATTTTTACAATTTTTTTAAATCCTTTTGAATCTTTTCAATTTTTTGAATCATTTGAATCTTTTTTTTAATATCATCCTTGGTGTGCTATAGTTTTGAAAAGACAATTTAATATACTGTCTGTTTGGATTAAAATATATAGGGTGTTTCATTTAAAAAACGAGATCATTTTTAATTGACCGCGTATACTTATTTTGAAAACGGTAGATTATGCAACAATCATTTGTAATAAATAGCTAAAAAAATCGATATATCGATAGATCGATAACTATCTATATATCGATATATCGATACCTATCGATATGTCGATAACTATTGATATATCGATATGTAGAAAATGGATTTTATTAATAAAAATAGTAGCGCTCGTTGAAATCTCAACAATAACATAATCTTATCGTACCAATAGTAAGTTATCGACATATCGATATATCAATAGTTATTGACATTGATATATCGATATGTCGATAACTATTGGTACGATAAGATTATGTTATTGTTGAGATTTCAACGAGCGCTACTATTTTTATTAATAAAATCCATTTTCGGGTTTACTCTCGTTTAAAGTTACTATTTTTAGTTGCTCGACGTTTCGGAAACTTAACTTTGCTCCCTTTCTCAAAAGAAGCGCTAAGTCACATCATCATCCATGCCAAATCCACGCAGTAATAAAATCTTTAGAAATTAGATCTTTTTGAAGGTGAAAACAGTTATCGCCCATCCCTAGCGATAACTATTGACATATCGATACTTATCGATATATCGATACCTATCAATGTATCGATAGTATTCATATATCGATAACTATCGATATATCGATAACTATCGACATATCGATAACTGTCGATATACTGATACTTATCGATATATCGACAGTTATCGATATTTCGATAGTTATCGATAAGTATCGATAGATATCGATATATCGATAACCATCGATATTTCTATAATTATCGGCACATCGATAAGTAAAATATATCGATAGGTAAGTACCCGATACTTATCGATAAGTGAAAACAGTTATCGCCCATCCCTAGTTCCAACAGCGGACTGAGCCCGCTCTTGCCCCCCTCTGGCTACGCCCTGAAACCGACCACACGTACGTTATGGCTAAAACGTGTTTGTGGTCGCCGCGTTCTTGAAATTGATGAGGATTTTGAATTGATCAGTGTAGTGTTCATTATGACGATTAAACATTGCTGCATTTGTAAATTTACACTCTTCCGACCATATGACGTTATTAAGGAAATTTGGGTTTTTGCGACTGTTTACAAATGTACAAAAAGCTACCCGCCGTGCATGACCAAGGCCGATATTTGTGCTTTTTCAAGACTTCTCCAAATAACTTGATGTGACTATTGTGGCATCAAATTCAGATGAGCTGCAACTTCTCATGAAGAGACAGATGTATGGTCTTGATCTAATTATCACCACATCCATATCTTTTTTTAAACGAACCATATTCGCCCAAGGTTTTTGCTGCTCTGGATAACGCTGGAAATATGGTACAGTAGCCATATGTGGGCATTTTGATGTCACGTGTAGTAAATTTGTACCATGTTTCTTTGTTCTCCACTTGAAACAAGCTTTTCCCAATAAAGCTAGCACAAACATAAATGACCCTACCTGAAATAAGAACAAACTATCAAACTTTGGTTAACAACAAAAAATATTTTTAGGAAAAATGTGATACTGAACCACTTTTCACCTCTTCCTCCTCTTCCGGTACATCACTCTTCCTTCTCCCTGTCCTCCTTCCACCTCCTGGCAATTCCATAGCATGTTTTCTATCCTCTGAATCTCGCTATAGTTTTAACATTTTTCCTTCCCCATAAGATTTTGGTAACCATTCCCTTATCAGATGCTTGTAACTGCTCCTTCCTCGTGCGCCCCCTATCTTCACCCTCTGTTGTTGTATTTGTGCTTCCAGATTTTTTTTGGAAGTCAGCTCATGTTTCATTCATTCTCCTATTCCTCTCATTTCGACTTCACCCCGTCCGCAGCCATTTTTTTCATATTTTGGTTTAGTATGTCTTCCTTTTAAATTCACAATCAATATCAAGAGAAAGTACTGTACGAGGTGTTTTGTCAAATCTTTGTATTGAAATTCTAGATCCGAACCCAATTCAATAGATTCCCAAATTTACCTACAAATCTACCTACAAAACACATATCCAGCTATCTCAACACAAAACTACCTTTAAATGTAGAATTGTAATCATTTTCCTCTTATACGTTCGGTTCTTGTCGCAATGAAAAATTTCAATGTTGTTAATTAATTAAAAATTTCCGACTTCCGAAAATTTGACATGAAAACTCTATCTGGGTCAGGATCTGGGTCGAACAAGGAAAATGAAAAAACAAAATTAATTGTTTGAGAATGACAAAAATGTATTTCGAAATACATGAAAGAAATAAAACAAAATCCCTGTAGCAAAGAAAATATTACAACGCTTCTTGGATAAACTACCCTGCACTTTACTGTCGGTAATTAAAAATGAAAAAAATCTAAAATTACGTACAATTTGTTTTAAAATAATTTAATTAATCTGGTCGTGCAAGGTTTGCGATAATCAGTTACCGAAGACACAAAAACTTTAGAAAACTTTCACTTCTTCTTCAATAAATTAATCTTGAGAAATAAGATGAGAAATTGTCGGTGGCTACTCAGACGGTAGAAACAATAATTTAAACCTTTTATTAATCCCTCAATTACTATTGACCTAAAGCGGTTCAATAATTGCTACCGATCTTGAGGACACACTTGTTTTATTAATTTGAAATAACAAACATTTGAAATATTAATTCGTACTTTTGACAAAGAACAAATATTCTACAAAAATTTAAAATTATTTTTCAAAACACTTTGGGCGCCTTTTTTTACAACATTGATTGCAGATTGGTTTTTGTAAGAATTTTTGTCTTTGCTTGAAGGGCATGTAGCACACCTCCTCCTTTTGCTCTTTGAAGTGGGTGGGGAGTTTCTTTCTCAGCTGATATCGGTTCTCCCAATACTTCCCGTGCCATACTTATAATTTTCATGAACATCTTGTCACGTACTTACTACCGATGGCTCCTCCCACCCACTCTTGCTCAAAACGCAACAACAGTACGACTGGTTGTGGCGGAAGTACTTGACAATCAAAGTAGTTATTAGAGCGGGAGAATGCCATGGCGCACAGATACTTGCTCTAAATTCCCTTTCTTAATGAAGTGACTTGCGATCTCTCCCCGCTAATTGAGAGACTTCATCTATCTATTTTTTTAAAGCTGACTGGACCCCTCTTTAGTTACTGGTTAAATTTTTCACTCCCGCAAATGGCGAATTATCTTTAAAATGACGATGTCTAAATTTTCTATTGCTTAGTGTCTTTCTTACTACTAATCCTAGTCCCTCCCTCCCCTCCCCCCACTCTATTCCATTAAAAAGTTTACACGTT